GTCCTTGAGCCACAGACTTTGATAAAGTGGAAGTTACACTGACGGACGTTGGCACGGGTCGAGTTTACAATCCCGAGGTGCGCTTCATATTGTTATACGGTCAGAATGCTGGTCGTTACGCGCTGTGGACGTCAAAAGACCCTCAGTGTTTGACCATCGATGTCTTCGGAGCATTGCCCGAGTGTGGTGGGAAGACCGGATCAGTTATGTTGAAGTATGTGGGATGCTTTTGGGAAGAGATAGAGGATAGATGAACTGGTCAAACTCCATAGATTGCGCTGGTTTGGTCACTTGCTTTGTCTTGGCCACGACTTCCTGGAAGGACTCTTTTTGCACAACCACTAAAGGGTGGAAATGAGCCAGGGGCGGGTCGAACAATGACTTGGCAGCAAAATGTCAGAGTTATTACGTTGGTCAGTGCTGTCTCTGTGAATAAGAACCCCGGGATGGGACACATCGGTAGTTAGAAACATCGTCAGACATGATGTTGGGCGGAATTACACACGGATACCGCTTTACAGCTCTCACTTAGGCGCTGCTACGGCTGAGAAGACTATCCCGCACAAGATTGGCTAAAAGTTGGGGACGCTTGCCGATCCGGCATCAAGCCGAGTTTTGGTTGGTCGAAAGTCCGGACCCAACGGCCAATCATTGTCCAGTAGTGGCCGAATGCCGGTTTCCAATGGCGCGTCCAGAAGGCATCAGAATTTCCAGAAGGTTGTCGCCGCTTACACTATTTATATACGATGCGCATCTTTAGTGGTTGCTTTGACGGGAACGCTGGATTGGGAGTTTCAAACCGGGAACTAAGCTGATAAAAATACCGTTATTACACATGGCTTGGTTGCTCCCTCAGTGTCGCTCATGTATCCAAGCTATTGCCTTCAATGCATAGCTCCCCTCCCAATCTTCCCACTGACCGCGCATCAATAATGTCATCTGCCAGCTCTAATGCGTAGCTACCTACCCCACCTTCCCAAATCGTTGGTGAACGAAATTATATTGAAAGTAAGAAGGCTTTAGCTGTGGAGTTATTTATTAGGAAATGCCAACTAAACAGTTACAGACTATTGGACAGGAAGCAAAACTCTCATATGCAGCTTCTTTGCAAAATCTGAAAATCCATCTTCTCTCGAACGCGTTTTCCTGAACTCCCCTGGATATTTATTGACTATTGCTCAAATCTAAGCAAATGCTACAGAGCGACTCCGCAAATTCCGCAATAGATCTTACTTTTCAAGAGAAAGAGCGGAATTTAAGTGAAAACATACTACTCGCATGCCTTCCCATCAGTAGTATCACCGTTACAATAGTAGCTATGACGACTGTACGGCAAGCACGCGGCTGTCACAGCGGATGATAATGATGATGAGGTCGCGTGTTTGTCCCGATTGGTTCAAAAACCGGATTGTCTGTGCACCGCGGCTAATGGATGCTTTGATCTTCATTCAGCTGTTTTTTCTTGGGGGGCGAGTGGTCCGACGTATATGTACCGGTCACCGCTACCAGAAAAAAGGCGGCTGCTTGTCGACTGTGATCGATTTGTCAGATTTAGCCGGCGGCTGGCTGTCTTGTCACTGTAGGATGAACTCGAACTATCAGTGCAGGTCGTGTGCGAACCCACTTTGATATGCTTTGTTGATGATTGTTCCTTGGACCTGGTAACCGTATGTCTGCTTAGTCATTCTACTAATCGTTGAAGGCTGTCCGTCTATTCACGAACGGAAGGATTGTTACACTGATCATCTTGGGATATGATAGGCAAAACATTCTCACCATCAGAGCTCGATATAGCTCGCCGAATCCAACCCTCCCTTAGTCAACCCGGCTCTTCCGAGT